CAAGCCTCTCTAAGCTAGAAACTTCCATAAGAGTACCCGGAAAGCATTGAGGAGCACTGGGAAATATTGAAGATCGCGATAACATCTGCCTCGGAAGGAACGGTCGGGTACATACAAAATAAACATCAAGGCTGGTTTGATGAGAACGACACTGAAATTCAAGATCTTATGGAAAGAAAAAGAAAAGCGCATAATGCATGGAAAAGCGACCCCAGCTTGCAATACCAACAAGCAAAAGTAGAAGTTCATATGCAATCGCGAGCATTAAAGAACCAATGGTGGAAAATAGAATCAAACAAAATGCAGCAAATAGCTGAATCCAACAGCATCTGGGCCTTCTTTCAGGTTACTAAGATGCTATACGGACCAAGCACTCAATCCCTTACGATCCAAAGATGGCACAGGATTGCTTAAAGACAGTTCTTCTAGTAGCTCTCGTTGGATGGAACACTTTTAGGAACTACTTAACAGGGAATCACAAATCAATAATGACATCTTGAACGGGATTCCACAAAAAAAACGAGGTTCAGTACGAGAGGCGGCCGCAAATTTTCGAGCTCATCTGATAACGGGATAGTATACGATCCTCAAAAATGCGTGAATATTGTACATCGTTAAAACAAACCAATCGAAGTGTAGGTACTAGAAAAAACGGTACCTGTGCCGCCACTAACCATGTGCTAAATTCACGACAATGAGAGATTTTTTGAACCGTTATCACGACCTTTTGACCGTCACTTGATAACGAGTTCAACCAACATTCAGTTTGAAGGAAATGATATCCTCTTCGCAGATATCTACATGTGCCACAATTTAGACAAGGCAAAAATTGAGACACGTATAGCGCGTGTGACGTGACGTGATACGAGAGACACGCCTTGTACGTGTCACACACGCTGCGCGATGATCCGCATATTGAGCCGCAATTTTAGTGACTCGCGTATCAACCGCATCGGGAAATCTGCGATTCACAGACGAAATAAATTTGTTTAGACTTTTGTTCCGAATCAGAATCCGATAATGCTGAAGGAGAAATGTCGCCTTATGCCTTGTTAAAAAGACATGTTATCCCAAATCCGATTCTTTGCTATCAGAGTTCCTATTCTTGAAACAGGGAAACAACGATCCCAGGAGAACGAGTGTTCCGTCTTTCTTAAGTATATGCAAATGATAATATAAGTGACAAAGACGAAACACGCGTTCTCCTGGGAACGCTGCTCCCCTGTTCCAAGAATAAGGACCCATGTCTTTTTACTTTCACCTCAACAATTAAATTCTTACCTTTGGCCACATACACATAGTACTCTAACCTTTTTTAAATAATTTAATATTTTCTTATTACTAACTTTTCTAATTTGATCTAGCTCAGGTGTATTATTTCACTACTTGTTACATTTTCAAAAACACATCAGATGTTATCAATAATGTCAATAAGTCACCATTCTGAGCTATTGTTTATCAACGTCAAATAGTCCAAAATTCACAATTCTAGCTTCACAGTTACATATACCTAATCAAGAATAACTCTTCATAAGTAGGTACTTTTCCATAAATTTCTTCGTAGTAGTTCTTCAATAATATTCTAACAATTATTTTCCATTATTCTGCTCCACCCGGCAGAAGTAAGTGGAAAAAGATTCAATTTTATTGCTGATACTGACCCAGAATCCGAAAGTTCATTCCAATTATGTAATTTGTTCTGATAGATTTTCTCTTCCTTGAAAACTATCGCCATTATCAATAAACAATATCTATCACTATGTTCGTGAGCTTTTAAATTAAAAAAAAAAAAAAAACACGGTAACACTTACAACTCTTTACGGCGACTCGGAGTCACGGGGCTCCTTCACTAATTTTTGAAATTGGCATAATTGGAAAAGCAACTGGAATTTTCTGCATTCTTACTTTTGAAAGTTTCATAGCCTTTTTTGAGCAAATACTTGAAAAAACTCTCTGAATGAAATTACGGAATTTATCGGCACTTTGTCACAACTTGAATTTTGAGAGTGTTGCCACTAATTGACAGCATTGAAAATTTTTAATAGATTTAGACCCGGTTTATTCATTTTTAGATAAAATTGCAGGTAACTATATCTGCAAAATAAAACCGTTCTATAATGTCTAAATATAATGCTATTTTTCAGCGGGTAACTGACCGACCAATGGCATTACAGATTGCGTTTTTATTTGTCAGATTGCATACCTGACAGTTTATTCTAAAATGTTGACGAAATACCAATAAAAATAGTTAAATTAATTACTAAGGGATTCACGACTTTATAACATTTATTTTTAAATTATTATACATAATTTAAACTTATTTTTTGTAATTAGCTTATTTTTTTTTCTCACGGCGCACTACATTTAGTCTTACTGACACCAACGCAATCGAACTTTTTACCCAGCAGAAGAGCTGGTTGTGCTTTGTCGTCTAAAATTTGATTGGTATCAGGCGCGGCTCCTCTGTAAGGTCATTCGGTCAATGACCCACCAAAAAATCAAACAATAAATTTTCAATTAAACATCTTGAATATTACGTTTTAAATTAACCAACATCACGCTCAACAGAATACTGAAATCGGATTATTTTGCGCATATTGGGTACCCGCCTTTTAAAATTACAAAATACAGGCCTAGCTGCGCTCGGCCGTATTCAGAATTGGGCTTATAGCTTTGAAATGATCATAGGCGAATGCAATAGGAATCAGACAGAGAGAGACATAACGGGCGTAAATGAGTAAGATAAAGAGGCACATTTGCTTCCATATGTTCCATCACGTCGACGGCCGGCAACGGCGCCGGCGCGGCGACAGATCCTCGATCGATCGATATAGGTATTTATCGGAATGGAACAAGAGCGCTCAGAATTCGACGATTTTATTGTCGTTTTTCAATCGCGTTTATTGAAGAAAGATGAAAAACAAAAGGCCTAGAGTGTTGGGGTGTTCAGAGTTATTTTTCTTAAAACAATTACTGAATTTTCATTGTGCACTTTGTTCTTGTTTTGATTTAATTTTTTGAGTAATCTGTCCTGAATCTTTCTTTAATCGATTCACAAAAATGGGTTCCCTTGTTCAGGAAATAATATCTTTAATTTCCAGTGGGGGATTGACTTTTGGAAATAAAGAAAAGTGGTCGTCCAAAAGCAAAGCTTGATTTATGCCAAACCACGAAAGAGTCTAGGTTGAGTGCATTGGCTATGCTCAGTATTGAGAAGGTATTTATCAAAAAAATTAGGAACTTCAATGAACTAGTCATTGACCACTATGCTTATCAGAAGGATAGGAGAATTAATTTGTTGTTCAAACGTGTCTAAATTTGGGATTCAGTCGACTTAAACAATAAACATTAGACCCACCCAAAGTAAGTTATTTTTTCTATTAAAAATGTAGGGATGGGTCAAATTAACTAAAATTGTTGTTGTATTTTCTTTATTAATTAAATATTTACTAACTTATTGCACGAATTCTAAAAAGGTTTCTAACCCGTTGTTTTCTACTTGCTTGACGTACACCGTACACATAAAGATATAACCTGAAATTAGGAGCAAGGATATTACCCAACATCTAGCAAGGATATTACCCAACATCTACGTCATTATTTGTCAAATTTCAAAATGACCATAAATGAGCGCGAAATTCAAATATTCAAATTTAAATTTCTACTAAAGCCAAAAAATTTAGTTTAGAACCAAAAATTTTTCGCCTGGGGCGCTATTTTAGCCTGCGGCGCTGTCTCTCTTAATTTGACCCACCTGTAAAAAAACTCACGAGCCGCGCCTGATTGGTATGATCTTGGTATAACGCTAATACGTCATCGTTTGGCGCGTTTTAAGGATTTTAAATTTTTCTAGTTTTGAAGTGCCTGTAGAAAACTCATTTAAGCTGGTAGATCTTTTTTTTTTGCAAATATACCTAAAATATTCTCTCGTTTAAGATTTTATGCTTAAATTAGGTACGCATTTAAATTTAAGTGAATGAGCGCGTCTGGAAACGGCATAAAAATAATATTGAACTGAATACCAACTCCAATACCAATTCTAGTACTAGTAATTTTTGTTCAACAAAAGCAGCATTGAAACTTGGAACTAAAATCCCGAAAAAAATTATTTAAATGAGACAGTGAGTTGGCGGATACCTTGATGGAAATCCATTACAAATTTTTCTTTTGAAAAAAGAAAAATATCTAATTTTATTCTAGGATTTAAATTTAAGCAGGTTTTAGATAAAGTAAAACTCAATACCTGTTTAGACTTGTGTCATAAAATTGAATAAGTTGATGTTTATCGGAAATTCATTACCTACCAGCGCTCTGCAGTAAGACTCTAGACAATCTTACTGCACTAAAACTGGGTGCTTGATATTAGGTTCATAAAGCCAAATTTCAGAGTTAGAGACCCTCTCTCTATTGATTTAACGATCTTGATATTCCTGATTTGTGGGATCTAGAAACGATAGGGGTCAAAAAACTAACCTCTGGGGAAAAAACGTGACCAGCTCAACCAAAACCTCCACTAATTCCTCCTAGCCTTCTACCTTGTCAGTTGGAAAATTTACTGTCAGGAGGACTTGTGAAGACGCCCATTCGGTACCAGGAATAAATCCATTATTTATTATCTATTATGCCTATTATTTCAACCGATTTACCTTTTCATACTTGTGACGACCTAGGCATTATATAGAACAATCGTGGTTGCAAATTTTGACAATATATTCATAGTCATATAGGTAGTTTATAAAACATGTCTACTAAAAAGAACCTGAAAAATTTAGATAGGTACTGCATAGAACCCGAACTATATACAATAGGTACCTATATAATATCATAAGCTAGGTATACTTATATCAGAGGCAGCATAGAATCCTTCCTCTTGGTAATTTCACAATAAATTTATGTTTAAAGCAAATTTAAAATATTATTACACAGAAATAAACACTACTATTCACATGTTGAATGTATATTTTCAAGCTAAAAATTTTAAATTATATCATGTTTTTCAGTTCTTCTTTGTCCTACGCAAGAAGTTTGACCACGTATCAACTCTCCACGTTATCCACCATGGAATAATGCCAATGTCTGTATGGTTTGGTGTAAAATTCACTCCAGGCGGCCACTCAACTTTCTTCGGATTCCTCAATACTTTTGTTCACATTATTATGTATTCCTACTATCTTATTGCGGCTCTCGGACCTCAATATCAAAAATTCCTTTGGTGGAAGAAATACCTGACCACTATCCAAATGGTAAAAAACTAAATTTTGTAAATAAGATTTTATTAAAACTTTTTTTCTCAGGTGCAATTTGTTTTGGTAATGGTCCACGCATTCCAACTTTTGTTCATCGACTGTGACTATCCAAAAGCATTCGTTTGGTGGATCGGAATGCACGCCGTTATGTTCTATTTCCTTTTTTCCAACTTCTACAAGCAAACTTACAAGTCAAGCAAATTGAAAAGTACTACCTCTAACGGAACTGCCAATAGTACAGCCAACGGGAAAAAATCCAAAGTCGGTATTTGCTTCACAACACAAACAGCGCTTTATGAAGACACGGACACCAAAGCAATGTCCAATGGCTACACTACTTCAGATAATTCGAAATTGAGGAATAGGGCGTTCATAAATCGAGACATTAGTACTAAATAGTGCTCATTTAAGGTGTCTAGTAGTGAGTCAGCCATATCCAAAGACTTTTTTTGTTATTATTAGGAAATAATAAAACATCACTGAAAAAGGTAGGGATTGGCCATTAAGTAGGTACCAATTACTCAATAACTCAGTTTATAGACTCTTCAAGCAGATTGCTCAAACAAGAATTATAAATAACCATGCTTTTCATCCGTGAAAAATGATGTTTGCTCAACCACCTACTTGATACGTGATACAAAAACTGACCAATCTCTACGACAACGAAATTTGAATTGTGAATTATATTAAGTTAATAGCATCACTGTGCTTGTTTTGTGAATAAGTTGCTAGTTAGGTATTTGTAAATATAATTTAATAATTACAGACTTAGAAAGAAGTTTTGGTTAAATAATACTTATTATTCGTACAGGTTTTGTATAAGTTACAAGGTTATATTTTTTACCTGTTTAAATTTGATTTAGAGCAAATTTTGTCGTTTAATTAGAATAATTCAAATTAGTTAATATTAGGGGTTTTTATCATTTTTTTATGTATTGGTTTATTTTTATTAAAATGTGTATTTTTAGCAGAACAAAAAAATGATTTGCCATATTTTTTTTTCTTTCTTCCTCATTGTCTTTAGGTGATATTTCACTGAGCAGTGTCTGGTGAGGGGTCCGACTAGCAATCTGTTGTCATTCCTGTTCATGTCCCCTCGCATATATCCAGTGCAACGCTCTAACCAACTGAGCTACCGAGACCTGCCTTATTTCTACCCTGTCGGTCAAGTCTTTCATCAATTTTAAAATGTTAGTTGTGAAGACCAACGGCAACCTTTGGCTGTTACCACTTACCGTTGGTATGGGACTGGATAAGAAGTTGATAGGGTAACACATTCGCAATTAATATGGCTGTTGGAATCCATTTTTCTATCAACCACGGATGCATCGTCGGCATATAGCGACATCAGTAGGCATCGCGGGATTAGACGCCGAACTATTAAGGTTGCCGTTGGTCTTCACAACTAACAGCCTAAAATTGAGGAAACGTAATTGACCGACAGGGTAGAAATGAGTCAGGTCTCGGTAGCTCAGTTGGTTAGAGCGTTGTACTGATGGATATGCGAAGGTACTGTTTTCAATACCGATACATATCTTTCGATCAAGGCCGCAGAACCCTTGGTAAAATAGAGTTTGAAAGCAATATTTGTGATGTTGATTTCCACAATTTCAATCTATACAGGTACTAGACAAGCCTTTCTGGGCCCTGCATTGCCACAACTTTGCTGCAGGTTTAGTATCTGAGATCTCACACTTCACTGGCAGTTAGCGCCCTAAAAAACAAGATTTCTTCAGGTTTATCCAGACGCATATGTGCAGGCAACAATTGAGCGAAGGGGATCTGGCGTTTCTGACCTGCCTCTCGCTACTCTGACTCAGATGATCAAAGAGATCACCCATGAGGACCTCACGTCAAGATGGGATGAGGCTACCACCTGTTAACCGCTCAGTTACCCAATCAGTTTCGAGTCCAGCCAAACTTGACATGAAGCATCATTTTTCGAACGCACCTAGGAATGACATGAATAAATTACTTATTCGCAGTGGTAATACATACCAGGTGACAACGAAATCGTAATACAAGGCGTCATTCAGTTGTCTTTAAAGTTAAAAATTTGAAAATTGGGTGGAACGGGTAAGTCATTGAGACGCACATTTTTCGTAAAAAAACAATTGAATATCACCTCCGGTTACTCCGGAAATGGACCCAAGTCAAGAAATTTTTATGGAACCCTGTATATTTTTTTGCACAGTTGAATAGAGCTTAAAATTCCCTTTCCAATGACAACTTGCATTTGTTTCCAAGATGGCGGCGTAAGAAGGTATTTTTCTTAAATTCAATATGGCGGCATTCTGACGTAACCGATAATGATTCTGTCAAACAAACACTTTTCCCAATCCATAATTTTTAGATTTGAAATGGTTTTACATCGAATTTGAAAAAAAAATGATTTTGCTCAAAACCAAGGGCATTTCAAAATTTCTTTGAAATGCAAATTTTAGTTTCAAATTTTCTAAACATTTTGAATAGGAGAGGCACTTATTAAATTCTAGAATTAAAGTGTGTCCAATGGCCTACCGAAAAATGTCTACCAAAATGCATATTCATTTTTCGGTTAAGGTATGCAAAGGTTAGATCAGAATGCCGCCATATTGAATTTAAGAAAGTGCCTTCTCACGCCGCCATCTTAAAAGCAAATTCCATTTATCATATGTCATTGAAAAGGGAATTTTAAGCTCTATACAACTGTGTAAAAAAATATACAGGGTTCCATAAACATTTCTTGACTTGGGTCCATTTCCAAAGTAACCGGAAGTGATATTGAATTGTTTTTTTATGAAAAGTGTGCGTCTCAATGACTTACCCGTTCCACCCGATTTTCAAATTTTTAAATTTAAAGACAACTCAATGACGCCTTGTATAACGATTTCGTTGTCACCCGGTATATTACCACATTTTGAAATATGAGTTTTCCGACTGCTTCCAAGCAGTTCAGTTTCTACAAACATCAAAAAAATCTAGTAAAAAAGTTATTTCCGGGCTATAATGCCGTGGTCCATTAGTATTTCTACCTAACGTTTCGTCTACTGCTGCGGTAGACATCTTCAGAGGCGGCGTGGTAGAGGACGAAGTGTTCTCTTCCGTGTTCCCCCGATGACTGGATTCGACGTTGTTGGGCCTGCGTTATTTATATCCAGGGTTGTAGGCGGATCCTAGGGCACCTCTTGAAACCGCTGGCATCTATAGAATTCCCTGCTCTTGTGGATCTGTCTATGTAGGAATAACCAAACGCTTTATCAACACCAGGGTCAAAGAGCACAAAAGGAACTGTCAGCAGAGACAAATAGATAGATCAGCAATCGACGAACAAGTGCTTACACAAACAAACCATGCCATTCGTTTCGACCAGACTCGAGCATTGGATAGAACCAAACATTTTTACACTAGACTCCACAGAGAAGCCATAGAGATACAGAAACACCACAACAACTTCAACAGAAAAGAAATGGGCATGAACCTCAACAAAAGCTGGTTGCCAGTTCTCCGAAAAATAAAGACCCTTCCTTTCCGAGAACGAGACAAAGAAAATAGCGTAATACAAGCCACGCCCACAACCCTGAATATAAATAACGCAGGCCCAACAACGTCGAATCTAGTCATCGGGGGAACACGGAAGAGAACAGTTTGTCCTCTACCACACCGCCTCTGAAGATGTCTACCGCAGCAGTACACGAAACGTTAGGTAGAAATACTAATGTACCACGGCATTATAGCTCGGTAAAAAAATTTTTACTAGATTTGACCGGCCGTGAAAGCCTTCATTCTTTTTCAAAAAAATCTCCTGGAGGAAAGTGACATTAATTCCACTACGGCACAGTTCATTCGTTTTTTAAATTGCAAAAGAGAACGCTCAGGTATTTGTGTTGAGCTGGCTGATGTAGGCAGAGCAGAAAGGCGTTCTACCTGTTCTGGGTATTTTTATTTTGGAGAAGACTTCATTCATTTTTAAGAAATATCAGGGTTATTCTAGAGAAGTACACTTTAATTTTAGGCAAAATAATTTGTCTCTGCCCATACCAAAGTCTTCACCACCAAAAAACTCTGTTATATACGAGATTAATCAAGACCTTCAAAATCCTCGTATCTTTTCTAGTTTTCGAGTAGAACTCCATGAAATGTTCTAGTACAATCACTCTGTGGACTTGTTTCTGGATGTTAAAACCAGTAATGAACTCGCTATTCTTGTCTTACTCACGGTTTCCTAAATATCATGTCACTATTGGAGAAGTTAATTCCTTGTAGTCTGGTTTACCAAAGGATTTTTCGAAAAGGAAACGCCATTTAATGATACAAGCATGAAATCTGGCACCGTTGCTAAGTCGACCATTTAATTCAATTTGAGACAGACCCATCGACTTTTCTCACTGGTACTAAAAAAAACGCCATTTTCCAAAAATGGCGGTCGATTTTTTAATTTTAATTCTGATTTGGTGTAGGCAAGCATGATGATAAGTACTCGGACAGAATAATAAAAAAATTATATCATCTCATAGTTGTCGCAGGTCGCGTGGCTTTACGACCTTTTAACTCATGTATGTCAGCATGCACAACCAAATTTGAACGTTTACTAAACGTCGTAAACCATAACTAAATTAAAAACAAATACAAAACCAAATAAAGGACGTCTTAGGTTTAGTATATTGCTATTGCACCAAATTTGCACTTTTGGTTTATTATTGGTATTTATAACATAAAATAATAATGACGCCTGGCCTTGTCAACAATAGAATACGCGAAACTGAATATTTGGCTCCTGTAGGCACAAAAATTTTAAACAAAGTCAACTTTTCTGTCAAATATAATTATGATATGCACAAAAAACCAACAGGCTGCTATTTTTTTGATTATTCTGCAGAAAAAAAATAAATGTGTAATTTACATATTTTCTTACATAGTTCCGATGGGTCAAAAACATCTTTGGGCAAGTCCGCTTTACAAAAAAAATTAATAATTTTGAAAAAATTTCCTTATTAAGGATTGATTTTTCAGATATGATTTTATTTTTATCAAACGTGCAGCAATGGCGGACCTTGCGATATATAAAATTGCCGAGCTAATCTGCACCTTATCCTAACCTAATGCGTGTGTCCGTCATAAAAATTTAACATAAAGCCATAAGGTAATAAAATCTCACCAACATAAACCTAGATTGACTGGGTATAGTTCCTATGATAACCTATTGTAATCAGTTCTTTTAAGTTGCTTTTCGCTCTCATTTATTTGAAACTTTACAGGAAACCGTAAATGTTTCATGTTATTCAAAATCTCGAATTCCACGACGCGATAATGCTTGTAATAACCCGTTAAGGGCACAGTGACTAATTTTATTTTTCAATGCCCACTGCTGTAAGCTTCTTCGGAGTTTTATACTCATCAAGCTTCCATCTACTTTGTCAGTTACTTCACTATCAGACTCATATTCAATTCACATTTACGGGAACATTTTTAATTTCTTGATTGGAAATTACAGGGGTCTCTACGAATTTTCCTTTTGCTCCATTTCCTTCATGTCTGGAATCATTTCTCCCTTTTTACTGAATCTAAAAATCCTTTTTTGCTTCTGTAATTATATGGATGAGTATGGAAGCTCCCGTTTCGTCCCATATCAAAAATACAAAAGCAAATAGGTACCTATTTGAATTCTTAAAATATTTTTGTAGTAGTGTCATATCTATTTATGTATTTATTTGGCTGATGACAGTTTAATAACGAACAACGCAAAAAGTATGAAATATTACACCAACTTTTACCAGTGTTCAATTTCAACCTTGGCCGGACGTTTTTCTACGACTTCTATCTGACCTTATGACTGGTCGTGTCAGGCAACGTTTAAAAAACGTTTTAGAGGTCACGAGTTTTCAAGAGAACGAAGGATTGTTGTCTTCAATTGAACGTTTTAAAACCGGTTTTTATTTCTTACGTCAAAATTAAGCTAGATGAAGGGCTCATGGCTCATTTCTTGACCACATACTT